CCTGCTTCTTAAAGCCTTCCCTGAGGTTATACTTCCTCATACTGTTTAGCCACTCCAGACAGCTTGACACCCATCACCACAGTGTTTGTGTGTCTAATCTAGCATATAACATACTCTCTCGCTAGTGCCATAAAGTTGAACAAATTTATTCATGACAAGTTAATGTGGCTGTGAAAGTGCTTACTCTGAGTAAGCAATTTCCATCCCACCATCAACCTCCGCCTGGACCAGTCCACACAAGAGATCCACTTCCTGGACACTACGGTGCTAATAAGCGATGGTCACATAAACACCACCCTATACCGGAAACCTACTGACCGCTATGCCTACCTACATGCCTCTAGCTTTCATCCAGACCACACCACACAATCCATTGTCTACAGCCAAGCTCTGCGATACAACCGCATTTGCTCCAACCCCTCAGACAGAGACAAACACCTACAAGATCTCTATCAAGCATTCTTACAACTACAATACCCACCTGCTGAAGTGAAGAAACAGATTGACAGAGCCAGAAGAGTACCCAGAAGTTACCTACTATAGGACAGGCCAACAAAGAAAATAACAGAACGCCACTAGCCATCACCTTCAGCCCCCAACTAAAACCTCTCCAATGCTTCATCAAGGATCTACAACCTATCCTGAAGGACGAACCATCATTCTCACAGCTCTTGGGAGACAGGCCAGTCCTTGCTTACAGACAGCCCCCCAACCTGAAGCAAATACTACCAGCAACGACACACCACACCACACAACAAACACACTAACACAGGAACCTATCCTTGCAACAAAGCCCGTTGCCAACTGTGTCCACATATCTATTCAGGGGACACCATCATAGGTTCTAATCACATCAGCCACACTATCAGAGGCTTGTTCACCTGCACATCTATCAATGTGATATATGCCGTCATGTGCCAGCAATGCCCCTCTGCCATGTACATTGGCAAAACTGGACAGTCTCTACGTAAAAGAATAAATGGACACAAATCAGACGTCAAGAATTATAACATTCAAAAACCAGTTGGAGAACACTTCAATCTCTTTGGTCACTCGATTACACACCTAAAAGTGTCAATTCTTCAACAAAAAACTTCAAAAACAGACTCCAACAAGAGACTGCTGAATTGGAATTAATGTGCAAACTGGATTCAATTAACTTAGGCTTGAATAAAGACTGGGAGTGGATGGGTCATTACACAAAGTAAAACTATTTCCCCATGTTTATTCCCCTTCCCCGCCCCGCTGTTCCTCAGACGTTCTTGTCAACTGCTGGAAATGGCCCACCTTGACTATCACTACAAAAGGTTTCCTCTTCCCCCCACCTCCCCCACCCCCCGCTCTCCTGCTGGTAATAGCTCATCTTAAGTGATCACTCTCCTTACAGTGTGTATGGTAACACCCATTGTTTCATGTTCTCTGTGTATATAAATCTCCCCACTGTATTTTCCACTGAATGCATCCGATGAAGTGAGCTGTAGCTCACGAAAGCTTAAGTTCAAATAAATTTGTTAGTCTCTAAGGTGCCACAAATCCTCCTTTTCTTTTTGTGGATACAGACTAACACAGCTGCTACTCTGAAACCAGTTACCCTGAGTGCTCATTCAACGACGTGTGCCCTGTTATAAACCACAGACACCTGGTCATTGAAAACATTTTTAACGCATTTGGGCAGTAAATGCCCTCATTCATTCATAACTATAAAAACGTCCTGTTAATACTGTTTTGGGTACTTATCAGATATGAGGGATTCTCCAAAGTTCGGGTTCATTTTGGGTGAGCATTCTTGATACTTACCAGGCCTGGCTAAATCTGTTTCCTTAAAGATTCTAAAACTGATTTATCTTGCGCACAATATGTTGCTGCTGGGATTTTGCATGTTACACACTTTGCAAAAGGCTCAGGAACTTTTTTACTCTGTACTGCAGCATATGTATATGATTGAGACACTTTCTCAGGGCACCCAGAACTGTGAACAACCTTCTTACCCCTTTGCCTTAGCAAAAGAGAGATTTGTGGAGCTAAACTGGATGACCGCTCTTTGTCACCCCAGTCTGTTAGCCTTTACTTTTCCTTGCAGATAACACTTGGTGCACCCTAGTTCCTGGGCCTCCTGGAAGAGCATTCCCTAGGCGTATCCAGCTCCTATCACTGGGCACTCACAGAAATTACCAAATTCACTATCTCCAAAAAGACAGTGTAAACACCAGCTTGTCTGATTAAACTAAGAGTTCATTCTTTGCTTCATATTAAAGCACTGAGAGCTACTTACGATAAAACAAAAGTTTATTAACAAAGGTAGAGATAAAAGAAAAGGAGTACTAGTGGCACCTTAGAGACTAACCAATTTATTTGAGCTACAGCTCACTTCATCAGATGCATTCAGTGGAAAATACAGTGAGGAGTGATGTAAGTGTAATGGGAACAGAGTTGATTACAAATAAAACAAAAGCATAATCTGACTAAGCATAACTTTAGCAAGCTACTATACAATCTCTTTGGCTAAAGCAGTTTTCTCACCCTCTTAAGTCCTTTTGCAGAGCTTGCTGATTTTCAGTCAAACCAGGTTCCAGATCTTTCACGAATCATTCCCCTCTGCCAGGAGTGTTCCTCGGTGAAATGGAAAACAACATACATTTTATTTCTCCTTAAATCTCCTCCAAACTCATTGTTATGGCCCGTGAGGCTAGACAACTCCCATTCTGGTTTTAGTTTCCAGTGTCATCCAAGGCTAATTTCACATTGTCTCTCCTCCCCACTTCCCCCCAGGTCAACCTGACTTTTCCTGTTGACTTATATGCAAATACAGCTTCCTTTGTGTTTGGTTTTCTAATGCTTAATTTACATTAGAGGCAGGGAGATAACTGGCTTCAGAGTAGCAGCCCTGTTTAGTCTGTATCTGCAAAAAGAAAAGGAGGACTTGTGGCCATAAGTACTCCTTTCTTTTTAGGAAGATAACTGCTCCTTCATGTCTGGAGGAGAACCTGTTTCTCCCTGTGTCTGGTTTCAGACTTTTAAAGCATGATATCAGTAAGTATCCATAATTCCTTATACAGTGTTAATTCAAATGTTTCACAAAGATATTAGTAACCCTAGTGTCATTGGTTTTCATTTGATATATTTCAAGAGTCTTCTTGGCTGAACACCATGATGGTGACAAGTTAGGTGTAGTGAGTTTGCCAGACCTGGCAAGAGTTGCTGATACAGAGTAATGAACCACCAGTGGGCCTCTGTGTCTCAGTGATCTACCCTGCTCCCACTTAAGGTCCATGCAAAAACTCTCAACAGTGCAGGTTCAGGCCCTGTATGTGGTTGCATTAGAGTCCAATCCTGCCATCTTTACTCAGTCGAAAACTCTCATTTACTTGAATATCTGTTTGCCTGAAAAAAAGATTGGAGACCTAATTTTATAACCCTTACCTGGTGGAGAATGAAATCCTGGCTCCATTGAAGTCAATGGCAAAATTGCTCTTGATTACAATGGGGTCAGGCATTCACCTGCTGAATAATACAGTACCTTTATTCTGGGATCAGTTTCACAGGTTTCAGGGACCACTCAAGGAGTAAGGTAGATTGCAAGTATAGTTAGGCTCTGAATAAGGACTTCAGAATTGAGTCCACTGTATAATTTTTCAGTGTGATGCAATAGCCACCCAGGATGTGCTGTAGTAGCACAGAGCATTTCACAAACAAGCAAAGCTTGATTTTGGTTTGGTCTGATTTGGTTAGCCTTGATCAGCCTTATCTAGGCATAACTAGACAAACTGAATATTCCCAGCTCTGTTCTGTCTTTAGCAGCATTCATTTTTAGAAAGTGTGAAGGCTTTCTTTTTATTGCACTAACTGTACTAAAAATGTGTCTTTAATATCAGTTCACCTTTTTTGGGTGATCTGTTTTAGAGACATTACATTCTTGTAGGACAAGGTGTCTGTAGTGGGTTTGTGCCTTGGGAAGTGTCAGAGAGAAAATGTGGTTTTTGTTTTTTCTAATTTTGTAGTGCTTTGGGGAAGTACAAAAAGGCATTAAAGACAAGAACAGCTTTAGAGAGACAGGCCGATGTGCAAGCGTCACCAACAGCAGAGGCAAATAAAGGACAGCAAGACAATATTGCTTTAGACAATCACTATTGACAAGTGATGATGCTTTCAATTTGTTTTATTTACATTATTAAACACACAGATGAAATGGACCTGATCCTGTAGAGCTCATTGAGTCAAAACTCCCATTGTAGTCAAGGGTGACTGAAGGATCTGTCCCATGAATCTATTGCATTTGCATGGTGATTTCTGTGGCTTTGTAACAGCTAAACCATTATCTCATTGTACAGTGTTTATGTGAATTTCAATCCAATCTGGGGAGAAAATCATAAAAATAAATGGAAAATGCCATCAGATACATTATGTGGCTCTTTAAAGCTCATCTGTGTTTCCTTGATAAGTCTGAGACGCTCATTCTTGCAACCTAACCTTCAGATAATTAGGCATTGTTAATGTATTGCACATTCCAATAAATAACTTTGTTCAGAGTGGGGGACTCAGTTCAAAGAAACTTTTTTAATTCCAAATCTTCTAGACAAATTCAAGCTCAATCGAATATTGTCTACTTAATTCCCTCCCTTCTTTTTGCGCACGTTTATTTTAATGCACACTAGGAACAATAGGATTGGAAAGTGATTATTTTCCAGAGATAAGTTTGGCATGCAGTTTGCTAGGATGCTCTTATTCCACTTTCATCAGCAATTTTTTTCTCGTCCTTCCTACTACTGTGTTTTGGGAGGAAAGCTGAAGACTTCCTGCTGTCTTTCTTCCCCTCCCTCACGTAGCATTGATTTGTTGTCTGATTTAAATACGGAGTTCAATATTCAGGTAGGTAAGTGCAACATAAATAAAATGGTATATTCTGCGGAGCCACAGGGGCTCTCTCTTCCTGAGAGCTGATATAACTTAGGACAGGCGAGGCAACCGCATAAATATTATTCGTGCCTTATCGCACCCAAACAGTAAACCACACTGGGCTGGTGGAAGACAGCTGGGCGTGGGAAGAAGAGAAGAAAACACACCCTAGGAGCTTTTGCAGCTCCAAGTTGGGGTGAAGGGTTCTAGTCAGATTTGCCTTGGTGTGACTCTGGAAAATTGGACCAGCGCTGCCCGCTTCAACACACGAGATCACCGAGTGAAAAGAGGACGGTTTTCCTGAATGGGGAGGAACGGAGATTTCATTTTGAGGATCCATCAGTCTCTGAGCAGGGGGATGGCAAGATGCTGTCTTCCCTGGGTTTGATTTCCTGACGACCAGAGGAGGGAAGAGCGGACTCTTTGGCTGGGGAGGAGGGCATGGAAGAGAGGGACTGTTGATCTAACTGGGAAGGGGATCTCTCTCTCTCTCTCTCCTGCTTTGCCACAATGTCCGTGATGATTTCGGCTCACGAGAAGGTGACCACCTCCTTCTCCACAGCAGCCACAGCCGTCAGCAAGCTGGTAGGTGTCCTTCCATCCAATGCTCCCTGCAATCACAAACCTCCCTGTTCACTGACCTCTCAAGTGTACCTGAACCAAGAGCTCAACAGAGGGTGCGTGTTTTGTGCAGTTGCTGCTTTTTGATCCAGGCTGTGCAGACGGAGGGAGCCTCCTTTAGTGCATTGTGTAGGGAGAAACTTTTCAGTGAGCTCGGTATCCTTGCTTTGTTTCGCTGATTAGTAGCAGGTAGCTCCATTGTGCTATGGTGTGCCTGGGAAGGGAACTTTGCTAGCGGGTGAGCATTATGCGAACTTGATTCTGTCTTAAATACAGGAGCCAGGAGCAGCTCAGCTAGAATCATAAAATGGAAGAATACATGAATCTCCAGGATGCAGTTTCATTGTTTCAGCGAGCCACAAATTACAATGCAAATTGCATTCTTTCCCCCTCCTCCCGCGGCATGAAAAAGGAGAGTCAGCTTAAAGCTGAGGGTGATGTATAGAGAGGTGGTGAACGGTGCGAGGTGAATTACTCCATTCAAAACAGCAGCCCCAGCGTTTGTGCATTTGTGAAGTCTCCAGCTCAGCATTTCCCCGTGGCATACTGTGTGTGTCCTTCTAAAAAAAGGGAGCAGCGGGATCAAAATTGGGGTGTGTGTGGTGGGGGGAAATCCCGCGAAGAGAGAGACCAGGGAATCCCCCAAAAGGCATCAGATTGGGATTTAATGCACAGCCTTTTCTTAGAGCCCGGGTGAGACGTGGATGGCTTCTGAGAGTTCTGCTGCTTCCTTGCCCACGTGCACTTTGCGTGGCCCGTCGCGCCGTCCTGCACCATAAATCAGCAACTGATCTTATTTTCCCGGGTCTCTGACACCAGCCCCGCAGCCGGGGAGCTGTGCCCAAGGGCCATCCAAGCCCTCAACAGGCTGCATCGCGCTGCCATCTCCAGCGTGTCCTAAGTCACTGTCCGAGCGGCTCCTTTGCACCCGGGGGGGGGGGGGGAGGAGGCAGGCGCTCAGGCACGCGGACCCGTTAAGACAGGCGGCTTTGGGGGGTCAGGCTCTGTGTCTTTAAGTCGGAAGGGCAGAGCACGCTGCTATGTGCTCCCCCCTCCCGCGCGGTGCGTGAAACTGCAGCCCAGTCCAGGGCGCCCCCTGGAGGAGTTGAGCCTCCCGTGCACGCTGCAGGGTCGTTACACTCCCCCATTCTTTGCCCCGCTGCTGGCTGAGAAAGCCGCAGCTCGGGGCCCGCTTGGAGAGGCTCCCCCAGGCGGCAGTGTCATTCGCAGCCGGTAGATTGGAGTTGGGACGGTTTTAAATGGACAAGTTATTTGCTTGACTGCAAAGCAGCCGGGGTTCACCCCCTCCCCCCACACCTGAGCGATTTCTGCCACCAGCAAATGTTGGTGTAATGCTTGGTAATTATGATGATTGTAAAGGCAAGACCTCTCCAACGCACACCTGCTGCTCGCTGATGCTCTTAGGTGGGAGCTCGGAAGGCTGCTAAACCACAGGGTACTTCTGAGGTTATATTTGTCACCTGCAGCTCTGATCACCTAAAATACCTACAGAAAAGCTTTTTTAGAAGCCTGAGCCATAATTTTCAGGTAGGAGACAGTGTAGGGGGAAGGCACTCTTCCATACTGGGCATGAATAGCACTTGGATCACATTTCAGCACTTCCAGGCGCTTTTAATCTTCCAAGCCCTTGACTAACAGCAGCTAGTAAGTGGGTTGGAAACATGTTTGGTTTGTTTTATTTTGACTCCTACCAAGAGAAATGTATTTTCCCTGATTTTTAAACTGTTTTTCCTGTTATGATTTGAAAACAGATCAAAATTAATCTCAGGGCTTTTTCTTATTTAGTTCTTTACGGTAACACCATAACCAAGTTGAATTTGTATCCCATCTCTCATATAAACTGCACGCTTTGCAGAGTTAAATAACAGCCAGAGCATTAAATTGTAAGTAATGGCAGAGGCAGAGACAAATTAAGAGCTGCAGGCAAGAGAAGAATAATGCTTTCTGCTGAGATTTGAAAATAGATGGTTTAGGCAACTATTAATATTATTTATATTCCATTAGCTCCTAGGTGCTCCAGGCTGGGACCACGGCTCCACTGTGTTACAGGCACAGCAAGACACAGCCCTAGCCCCAAAGAGTTTACAATCTTGACTGAAGACAAGATGCCACAGGTGGATGAAACAGACAAATGAATAAGGGGTGGGGAAGATGATGTAACAATAATATGACCAATCACATTGGCTAGCTGTATTCATAGTATAGCTCCCCAGCTGCCCTAGACTGGCAGCAGCATGGTATAAGAGGGTTTAAGGAGAATAAGGTGATGGTGGGGTGACTGGATTTTTTTTGAGGGAGCTTGTTACATCCATGGAAAAAAGCAGTGAGCGGGAGGGATACAGGAAGGCTGTGCATAAGAACAGGGGATGCAGAGAAGGTCCTCCCACTAGCAGGGCCTAGATTGTGCAAAGAGACAGAAATTAGTCTGGTGGCAGATAGATGGAGGGGAGCAATGGCAGAAAAGATTTGTGTAATAGGCTGGGGCAAACAAAAATGAGGGCATCTTGGCTCTGGAAATCATGGGGAAGCCAATGGAGTCACATTTCCAACTTTCTTTTGCAAACCTCCCCCTACATATTTAATCATGTTGTCTGATATAGGAATAAGTGACGGGTGAGACTGTTAAAATTAGGAGTGTGTGCTTGCACAGATACATGTGTGAGCACAAATACCCCATGTGCATGTGCAAATCAGACATTTTCATGGCCAGTTACTTAATGCAGTTAGCATGTATTCATGGATATAGTGGACTTTTACATGCACATAGAATATTTGTGTACAAAAGTTAGTCATGGATAAATGTATGCAGGCACTTGGTTATACCTAACTATGATAGTTGGTTGCAGTTCCTACTACATCAACATCTAGACACTGTGGGCAAGAAGCACAGTTGTGCTCATCGGTAAGTCACACAGCTTTGTATAATAGAATCTGATGGAATATAGCTTTAGAATATTGCAGTTATCTATTCATTTTTTTTGTTTTTTTTTAATTGCAACCAAGATTGCCACTAAAGACATGACTGTGGGATCCGGATCTTGGTATGACATCTGACCTGAAGTCTTGTATTACCTATATCTTTCAATAGTAGACTGTCCTTAGAATAGCACTGCATTTAGGTACAATCCCAAATCCTTGTGTGGGACTTGGACCCACAATTATCCAGCCAAAAGAGGAAAGTGTTGCCAGCTGAACCATACTGCCTTTTCCAGATGAGAGAAAATCAATATATGGAAAATGAATTAATAAAATTTCAAATATTAAATGTTTGTATGAATAGTTAATTTTGTTCATTAGTAACAAAATGTTGATCTAGTACAGTTAGATAATGTTGGCATTTAATACATTACTCTGATCACTTTGCAAACATTTCAAGCTTAGCTCTTCACTGCTTTGTGCCTTAGGCAGTCACTAATATCCAGGTACGCTGCCACATCAGAGTGGTTGTGATTTATATTCACTTTGCACAAGTGCATATCGTTTCATGTACTGCATGCTAGGTAATAACATAAGGGGACTCCATGTTTCTTGAACTAAACTGGCTCTTCATTAAGAGAACTATTTACAGAGATGCCAGCCATGGGCAAATGGACTGACTTCCTGGTGCCTCTCCAATCTCTTCCCTCCTGCAAACTGTGCTCGTCCTGCCAAGTTCCATGCAGTTTTCTACATAAATGACTTAAGTTGCCAGGCAGCACAGAACTAGGCCCTTAATCTTATTTCTTGGGTGGAAACTAATTCATGAAGATTGGCTGCAAATCTGTCTGTCATGTTCATGGCATAAATCTAGAGAGTTAGAAATGAAATATAAATATTCTTCCTGAAGGGTTGCAATGTAACACTACTTTATTTCTTAGAATTCAGAAATCTACTGCACAGCGATCAAATACAGGGAGAGACATAGGAGGCTGCTACCTAAGGCAGAAAAGCACAACTCAACCTATGTTTCCCCAGACTGCCTCTTTTGCAGACTGAGTGCTGAGGATAGATCGCATGCTCCCCCTAGGCTGTAAGAAGGACCACAAACCCCTTAGAATTTAAAGTTTAAAGTTAAAGCTTGTAATTTTAACAATATTCAACATCTTCCACTGTCTATCCATCTCTTGATGTTGGTGATCTCCACAATTATCCCTTTTTGCATAAGATTATTGAGAAAGAGATGAGGTAACTTTGGTGCAATCTGGACCTTAGATTTTCTCAGTCTGGTTTTTAGTAAGAAGACTGCACTAATTTGGTTGTGGGTGTCTTTCTGTTGATTTCAGGGGGCTTTGGATCACGTCCCCAATGATGGACAAGGTCAACTTTTCTGTTAATAGCCTTTGATGTCACTGACCATAAAGTTTTGTTGACTCTTGCACAGACCTTGCATGTCAGATTGGCAGTGACTTGGGGAGGTTTTGCTTTCCTCTGCAGCATGTGGGTGCGGGTCACTTGCCAGGATTGTCTGGATATATCTCACTTAATCAGTTCCCTGCCACTGCAGGGGCCTTGAGCACTGGTGCACTTCAGTGCCTTCTATACTCTGTCTGTGGCATGTGATAGTTTAGCCCCCTCCTATGGGCTGTAATACTTTGGTCTCATTTCAGTCGTTGGCTGTAGTGTGCGGGTGCTGGTGGCCTGTGATACACAGGAGGGCAGACAGGATGATCTAATGGTCCCTTCTGGCCTTAAACTCTGAACTTTAACATTGGCCAAATGTACAAATTCAGGTTTGAGTATGTGGGGGAGAATGGCCTGTGGGCAGAGCCTGATTAAGATTTATTGGGGTTCTGGGCACAAAGAACATTTGAGCCTCCCACATCCCCCTCACCATGGGGCTCCCCCTCCTGCTCCTCCTCTTCCCCCTAAGGCCCCACCCCCTGGCCAGACTAAGTGGGAGTCGGGCCATGGTAAGAGCCACCCAGGGAGCCCAGACCGCTGTGGGGAGCCCCGGACCCTCCACTTGCCCGGGGTAGCATGCCTCGGGGGGCAGGGATGTGGGACATTCTCCCAATCAGGGCAGTTGGAAGGTCAAGCTCCCCACAGTGGCTCAGGCTCCCTGGGCAGCTCTTACCATGGCCTGACTCCGGCTTCCATCCTGGCCAGAGGGTAGGCCCTTGAGGGGAAGAGGAGGAGCAAGGGGCAGGGCCACAGTTCCAGCAACAGTGTCCCCCCACTTTCACACAGGTTCTAGCGCTCCTGTGGGGGCCTCCAAATTGACCAGGGCTCCTGGGCATGGTGTGTTTATCCACCACTGTCCGTGGGGAACATATTTGCATAAACACAAATGTATTTGAAACTTAGATCATCATTGTTTGTCAAATCTTAATTGTCTTGTCATTGCCTTGCGCTCCCTCCCTCCTATGAGGTTGAATCTTATCTTAACTCAGATTGTCAGAAGCTGGGAATGGGTGACAGGATGGGTCACTTGATGATGACCTGGTCTGTTCATTCCCTCTGAAGCCCCTGGCATTGGCCACTGTCAGAAGACAGGACACTGGGCTAGATGTACCTTTGGTCTGACCCAGTATGGCTGTTATGTTCTCTGCAGGATATGGACTGTCTCAGCATTGCCAGTCCCTGCTCCTGGAGTCATGTGAGAATCTCAGATTTAATTATTTCTTTTAAAGGAAGTTCCCAGCCCCCCACACCAACTGTGGCAAAAAGCTTGCAACCTGAAAGGTTCAAAAGCCTGAAAGCAAATAAAAAGAATTCTAAAGTATAAGTGGGTTTTTTTAAATTTAAATTATGGTTTTAAAGCCAATCTCATGATTTTGGGGTGGGGGTGGCGGGGAGACAAGTTTTATTTTTTTGATTTATTTATGTTACTTTTGAAAATTTGGAATTGGCAAATCTGCTGCCTTTCTTTTGTGTGTTCATATGGTACTTGTCTCAGTGGGGCTGGGTCCTCTAGGTGCTACTACAATACAAATAATAAACAACAACTTAGTAAAACTGGCAGGAAAAGTATGGAGAAAACACACGTACACAAGACCCCAGGGGAAAAACGCTCCAGTTTATAGTGTAAAATAATATTTAAAGTTTTTCTCCAGCATGAACATATGATATTACAACAAGGTAATAAATCTCCAGTAGACTTTTAAAAGTTTAATTGCAGCAGATGTTATGAAAGAGATAAATCGAATAAGTTGTCATTAATTCCAGGTTATAACACATTGTTCCAGATGCATGGCATACCAATGGCTGAATTCAGAAAGCACAGGAAGGCATAAAGTGATATTTCCCTGTAAATAAATAATACAGAAATTCTTCCACTGGCTTAAGTTAACATTTATAGTATTGATATTGAGTAGTTCTTAGGATCCCCAATCATGGACCAGGACCTAACTGTGCTAGGTGCTGTACAAACACAGAATACAAAGATAGTCCCAAAGAGCTTACAATTTAAGTAGAACCCAGGGTTCCCAAATGCAAAGAGAATTCCACTCAGCAAACCATGCAGTTTTTGCAAAATTTTTACATTTTGGTAATGCATTTTGCCCCCCTTCACAGGCTGGGCCCCAATGCAGCTGCCAAACGCTGCAGATCTTGAGGGATATGCTAGCAGGCAAGGCCATCCTCCTTGGAGAGTCTCTGGCTCTGCTTTGGTGACCTGTCTTCCCCCATGGCTTCCTGATAGCTGGATACCAACTGTATAGAACTGGGTGCTGAGTTGAAACCACTTGAAAACTTTGGCCCAGATTGTAGTTTATTTTAAAAATAAAATAATTAGAACCCAGAGTCTGCAGGCTCTTGCACCTGGGTAGACCACATGGCACTCTGTTGGCTTCAGTGGGATGTGCCATGGGGGCAACTGTCACCCACATGCAGGATTCAGGCCCAGTTTTGTTTTCATTTATGTGGCAGATCCAAGTGTTGCAGGGGCTATTTTTCCTGTAAAAGTTATTGATATCACAAATCCCTAAACATGAACAAGGGGCTACAGTCCACAAACTATAATAGGAAATCATCAACTGGTGCAGGAGAAGTAGCACTCTGCTCACAGGTCTTGGCAGATTAAAATGCTTTCATTTAAAATGTATTGGACCACGCCTGGCCCTTTGATATGTAAAGTTCAAGTTTGCACGTTTTCTGTTGATGACTGGGGTTATTAAACTGTTTAAATTTTTAGGGTACATAATTTCTCCTTGAAAGCCCTGTGAAGACATGACTATAAATATGTTCAAAATGTGACTGTTACAATTCAGATGTACTTCAGACAGAATATTGCTTTTAAATAGATTTGTGACTGAGGAGTTCTATAGTCTTGCTAAATTTAATATACTGGAAAAAAAAAATCACAGGGTTATGCCTTCTATGTTCCCCGCACATCATTCTGGGACTGACAGGAAGTAGCACCAATACATTTCCCAAAACTTTTGCCATCTCACCATAGAAACTAGAAATGAAAAATCTGTTGGATGTGGCTTTCAAAAGTGGCCTCTATTTTTGTACATGCAACTTTACCTTCACACAAATCTTTGCCTACACTTTTTATCAGTGGGGATAGAGTTTTCACATGCTAAACCCATGGCTGGTGATAGCTCACAAGTAGTTTGCATGCACAAAGGGCGATCAGGTTGTTGGCTTTATTGGAAAATCAGACCCATTAGGTCTTCTGTTACATCTGCCTTGCAAGAACACAGTGGTTCAATGACCACCACTTCTCTCCTGTTCATCCTTCAATCCCTCAGCAGCTTAGCAAACTAAACAGAAACTCAACCTTTTGCAAAGCTCTGAAATGATCAGGTAGAGATAGATATACATTTTTCCTTTTCTCATTTTGCACTTCTGGCTTTGAGCCCCAGTGTGCACCAGAAGAAATGAAACTACATGAGTGAAGCTGTCTCTGCAGTATTTTCAGCTGGAAGCCTTCCAAGAACCTGTTATGCTGAGGGTCTGCTGGCACCCACCCACTCTGACTCCTGCCCTCCCCTTCATCCTTTGGCTTCTCGCCATTGTGTTTGCTCACCACAGCCTGATGGCAACACAGCTCTTTGGAAGCAAATATGTCTGCCCATGCTCTCTAAGTGGTGGTTGTGGGTTCCAGAAACTTTTTATCCTTCA